ATCCAGTGCACCGTTTGGCCTCGTTATGTAAGCTAGCCAATTATAAAACAATACTCCATAATCTCAACCAAAAAAAAATGGAAAACTAACAAGACTGCTCGTATCAGGGCGAAGCCCTGAATGTTCGGACTGCCTTTTAAGGTTTATTGAGAAGCAGTAATAACATAAAAAAATTTAAATGAAATAAAATAAAATGAATTTTTTTTCCTAAATAAAGAAAATCATCCCCACACACGCCATATAAAGTGCAACAAGGCTGCTCGTATCAGGGCGAAGCCCTGAAAGTTCCGACTGCCTTTTAAGGTCTATGGAGCATTAATAAGATGAAAATATTCAAGGTAAAAAAAAATTGGAAAAGTAACAAGACTGCTCGTATCAGGGCGAAGCCCTGAATGTTGCGACTGCCTTTTAAGGTTTATTGAGCAGCAGTAATAACATAAAAAAATTTAAATGAAATAAAATAAAATGAATTTTTTTCCCAAATAAAGAAAATCATCCCACCACACGCCATATAAAGTACAACAAGGCTGCTCGTATCAGGGCGAAGCCCTGAAAATTCCGATTCCGACTGCCTTTTAAGGTCTATGGAGCATTAATAAGACGAAAATATTCAAGGTAATAAAAAAAAAACAAAAAATTTTTTTGAAAACATTTGAGAATTTATGAAAAAACATCCCCCCACACGTCATATTAAGTACAAAGTGATAGATTTTGCGCCTATTAACAAATCAATTATGGCATATAAGCTTCCTTGAACCAATTTGGAACGATTTATAAGACGGATTAAATCTCGCTTACGCGTTAATAGCGCGAAACTTATCGCGCGTTAATTGTCCCAAATTGGCCAGAATGGCAATCTTTAAACCCTCATATACACATGCTAGTTTATCATAACTTGTTTCAGAAGCGTTTTTGTTGTAAAAACATCCATGCAATTATTCAAATTACAAGACTTTATGGGCTCAAATAAGTTCTTGAGGAGTCTGATCAGTTAACTTTTTCTTTATCCGGCGGAAAATTAACAGAAAAAAAATTTAAAGAGTAACATGGTCTGGCGTCAAAAAACGGTTGTATTTGACAAAGCAGACATTAAAAGGTCTTGGACGCTCATGACCGAATAGACAAAAATTACAGTCAACATAACTGCATAAAAGAAAATGCATGGAATTGAGCGGCCATTTTAATCAAAATTTGTATTGGAACAGTTCTTTTATAGGTTAAATTCAACCATCAGCGCTACATTACCCGTTGTTTGACGTCGAACAATTTTACACTCTTTCACTTCTGTTTGACACGTTCTTGCAAAAAGAGTAAGTGAAGCTAATAAGCTTCCCCATGAAACTTTTTAAGCTCTAAAATTTACTTTGCTTGAAATTTTTGCAAGGATATTTCCACAGCAAGAACCCCTCTGAAACTAGTTATGATAATAATTGATCAAACTCAATCATTTTAGAAAAAATTATGGTTGCCCATCTTTTTGTATGTAAATTTCACTCTTGAATCTGATTGCTTTTTGTAGGTCAATAAAGTCGAAACTAATGATTTTGTTTTGAATGACATATAGAAAATTGTTCCGCTGACTTGGTTACTCGCAAGAAAATTTACTGCTGCCAGCATTTTGTGCCTTTTGAGGCTAAGTATTTTCTACTATACCGCACAAAAGTTACATTACGAGTTCACACTGTGTATTTTGTGATCTGTGCGCGGATTCTGCAACAGGCTGAAGCTGATTTGAAACACAGATTCCGGAACATGGCTATTTATATTGAATCTTTTTGTTCCGACTTTCGATACGAAAGTATCGGAATATGTGCTCGGGGTGGGTTTTTTTTTTCTTCAGACAAATTACGACTTTTTAACTAGCCATTTTTGACGGAATTTTTTTATATCATTCGAAACCCATTGTTGTCTTGAGTTTAAATTTGAAAAGATATTTCACCCGTGATCGTTTTTCGTAAAGTTATGAGTGTTTAAAGATTGCCATTTTGGCCATTTTGACCAATTTGGGACAATTAACGCGCGATATAATTCGCGCTATTAACGCGTAAGCGTAGATTTAATCCGTCTTATAAATCGTTCCAAACTGGTTGAACGAAGCTTATTTGCCATAATTGATTTGTTACAAGAAACGAAATCTATCTTTTTGTACTTTATATGGCGTGTGGGGGATGATTTTCATGAAAAATTTTCAATTTTAGAAGAAAAAAAATTTCATTTTATTTTATTTCATTTCATTTTATATGTATTACTGCTGCTCGATAAACCTTAAAAGGCAGTCGGAACATTCAGGGCTTTGCCCTGATACGAGCAGTCTTGTTGTCTTTTGGATTCCAGTGATTCACACACACACACACACACACACACACCCACCAAACGGTATCCAGTACACCGTTTGGCCTCGTTATGTAAGCTAGCCAATTATAAAACAATACTCCATAATCTCAACCAAAAAAACATGGAAAACTAACAAGACTGCTCGTATCAGGGCGAAGCCCTGAATGTTCGGACTGCCTTTTAAGGTTTATTGAGAAGCAGTAATAACATAAAAAAATTTAAATGAAATAAAATAAAATGAATTTTTTTTCCTAAATAAAGAAAATCATCCCCCCACACGCCATATAAAGTACAACAAGACTGCTCGTATCAGGGCGAAGCCCTGAAAGTTCCGACTGCCTTTTAAGGTCTATGGAGCATTAATAAGATGAAAATATTCAAGGTAATAAAAAAATTGGGAAAGTAACAAGACTGCTCGTATCAGGGCGAAGCCCTGAATGTTCCGACTGCCTTTTAAGGTTTATTGAGCAGCAGTAAAAACATAAAAAAATTTAAATGAAATAAAATAAAATGAATTTTTTTTCCTAAAAAAAGAAAATCATCCCCCCACACGCCATATAAAGTACAACAAGGCTGCTCGTATCAGGGCGAAGCCCTGAAAGTTCCGACTGCCTTTTAAGGTCTATGGAGCATTAATAAGATGAAAATATTCAAAGTAATAAAAAAATTGGAAAACTAACAAGACTGCTCGTATCAGGGCGAAGCCCTGAATGTTCCGACTGCCTTTTAAGGTTTATTGAGCAGCAGTAAAAACATAAAAAAATTTAAATGAAATAAAATAAAATGAATTTTTTTTCCTAAAAAAAGAAAATCATCCCCCACACGCCATATAAAGTACAACAAGGCTGCTCGTATCAGGGCGAAGCCCTTAAAACTCTGACTGCCTTTTAAGGTCTATGGAGCATTAATAAGATGAAAATATTCAAAGTAATAAAAAAATTGGAAAAGTAACAATACTGCTCGTATCAGGGCGAAGCCCTGAATGTTCCGACTGCCTTTAAAGGTTTATTGAGCAGCAGTATTAACATAAAAAAATTTAAATGAAATAAAATAAAATGAATTTTTTTTCCTAAATAAAGAAAATCATCCCCCCACACGCCATATAAAGTACAACAAGGCTGCTCGTATCAGGGCGAAGCCCTGAAAGTTCCGACTGCCTTTTAAGGTCTATGGAGCATTAATAAGATGAAAATATTCAAGGTAATAAAAAAATTGGAAAAGTAACAAGACTGATCGTATCAGGGCGAAGCCCTGAATGTTGCGACTGCCTTTTAAGGTTTATTGAGCAGCAGTAATAAAATAAAAAAATTTAAATGAAATAAAATAAAATGAATTTTTTTTCCCAAATAAAGAAAATCATCCCCCCACACGCCATATAAAGTACAACAAGGCTGCTCGTATCAAGGAGAAGCCCTGAAAGTTCCGACTGCCTTTTAAGTTCTATCGAGCATTAATAAGACGAAAATATTCAAGGTAATAAAAAAAAACAAAAAATTTTTTTGAAAAAATTTGAGATTTTATGAAAAAACATCCCCCACACGTCATATTAAGTACAAAGTGATAGATTTTGCGCCTATTAACAAATCAATTATGGCATATAAGCTTCCTTGAACCAATTTGGAACGATTTATAAGACGGATTAAATCTCGCTTACGCGTTAATAGCGCGAAACTTATCGCGCGTTAATTGTCCCAAATTGGCCAGAATGGCAATCTTTAAACCCTCATAACTTTACGAAAAATGATCACAGGTAAAATATCTTTTCAAATTCAAGCTCAAGACAACAATAGCTTTCGAATGCCATAAAAAATTGCGTCAAAAACGGCTAGTTAAAAAGCCGAAATTTGTCTGAAGAAAAAAGCCAACCCGAGAACAAGTTTTCCGTTACTTTCGTTCCGAAAGTCGGAACAAAAAGATAGATTTCGTTCCTTGTAACAAATCAATTATGACAAATAAGCTTCGTTCAACCAATTTGGAACGATTTCTAAGACGGATTAAATCTCCGCTTACGCGTTAATAGCGCGAAACTTATCGCGCGTTAATTGTCCCAAATTGGCCAAAATGGCAATCTTTAAACCCTCATAACTTTACAAAAAATGATCACAGGTAAAATGTTTTTTCAATTTTAAGCTGAAGACAAAAATACCTTTTGAATGATATAAAAAATTTCGTCAAAAATGGCTAGTTAAAAAGTCGAAGTTTGTCTGAAGAAAAAAAAACCCACCCCGAGCACAAATATTCAGTTACTTTCGTATCGAAAGTGGGAACAATAACTTTGAACTGTTTAGAGGACGTTGATTGAACAAAAAATGCACTTTCGGCTCTTCTGTTATGATAATAGCCCAAATATAATTTTCTTCTGGTGTTTCTTCTGATGTTTCGAATAAAGTCAACCACACGTTATGGTTTAATTTGCTTAAATTTGGGCCTCACAACAGAAACCAAAATTGGGCCTCAAAACCAAAATTAAACCTCAAAACAGAATTTTTTTGTATTGTAAAACAAAACAAGACTGCTGATATTGAAATAAACCTTTTAAATTTATGACTGATATAAATTTTTGACTGATATTTTTTGAACTGCAACGATAAATTTAAAAAATTTCAAAAAACTCGATGCTTTTTGAAATTTCTGATTGCAAAGAAAATATCTGATTTTGTATTTAGGCGTTGTCTACAAACCCTGCTCCCGGAGGCGGCGGAGGAGGTGCAGGCAGACCCCTGAGTCCCCGTCCGAGGGGCAGCAACAGCCGACTAATGACTACCCTGGAGGAACAGGACGAGCAGGCAGGAGGACCACCAATGCGTAAGAGCAAACAGGTTCAGAGGGCTGCCAGTCTTCACTCAGACGACGCAAACGAGTCTATATCAAAGAGTATGTTGCAATACGCCTCTAGATGCCTTCAAAATTTTCGTAAAATCACAAATATCCAAATTGCTCTACTCCTTCCAAATCGGCGTAACACCTACTTCGATCTAAATTTCTGTGCGCTACATCACGTAAAACTGTAAATAAAACGCTACAAATTACGAAACTCTATCAGAACTATGTGAAAATGTTTTTGTTTCCAGACATGTTGCCTGTGGCTCCCTCTAGACTGGAAGAGGTGCCAAGTTGGATGTGTGTGGGCGTGGCTGTGAGGGTGGGCCACCCGAACAAGAAGGGCACTGTGATGTACTGTGGACGCACACACTTCTCAGAGGGCACCATGGTCGGAGTCAGTCTCAACTCTCCTCACGGTAAGCCCCCCCCCCCCCGTTCAGTTCATTTTCAAAAAATAATACCTAATTCGACTTTTCCTTTGATTTTAAGCCACTCTATAATTCCACAAATGAGAAGGAACATGAGTTAAAATAGTCTCCTTGAATGTCTCCCTCCTTGAAGTAAGTCGAAAAAAAACTGCAGTTGAATCCGGTCGAAATAAGATTGACGCCAAAACGCCGGAGAAATTTTTCACTTTTTAACACATTTTACCCGTTTAAAAATACATTGTTTGCTAAAAGAATTAAAAACACCACGCGATAAGCAACTAAGTGGCCTTTTTGGTTTTTCCAAGATAACATTTTATTATTATTATTATTAATTTTTGTTACTTAAGAGCAAAATGTTTCCCATTATAAGCAGATTGATCAATAGTTTTTTTCCACTTGCGAGAGCGAGTGACTTGTAATCAGGAACAATACTTTTTTTCCCGTAAAAAACATTTCTTACACAATTCTGCTTCTGCTTCATAGCTGCTGACAAGCTCAATTTCTTGACAATTCAAGTAAATATTTTTTGACCGTTTTTCTGAATCTTTTTGACTTCCTATAAACTACCTTCTCAAATTGTGAGATTGAAGATTAAATTGAAAAGAGCGCGGTTGTAAAAGTTTTTCCTTTAGAAGCTTCGATTCCCTCATTTGTGTAAATAAGATGTTATATTTACCTTCCATAGTTTTTTTGTAGATTCCAAATTTAAAATTCAATCTTAACTTTTCTATCGACATCTTGTAATGCAATGTGTTTTTTTTGTGATTAGCAAGTGAAGCAAGCCACGCTTCGCCTCTATGTAAAGAAGCTATAATCATTCTTATTTCCTAACAAACCGTTCACTTCTATGCTTTAGAGTTTAATCACAGAAGCAGAGCGGAGCTTCGCAACACTTGCGATATAACACAAGCATAAGCAAAAACATAAGTCGAAAATAAATTTAAATGTTGAGAAAAACTAAGTGAACGAAAAATTTCGTAGGTCCAGATTAAACACAACTATACACCCAGATAAAACTGGAGGTATGTGTTTGTTATGAATGGATTTGCTCCACAGATGCTGCACAAAAAATGTGATTTCAAAAATTAGACTTAGCCCAAAGCCTTAGTTGTTTCTCTACTAAAATAAGCAAGAGTACAAAATTTTGAGATAATTATTGCTCCCGAGGAAATAACCTTTCTCTTACAAAAAGGAAGTCGCCGCTTCTGCAGGAACCATTATCGCAACCGGTTTTTTTTCAGTTGAATTTTTCATCTCAGATTTGATTGTGTAAATTTTAAGAAAATTCAAAAAGTTTCTGAAAAACGGTCAAAAGTTCTAAAATTTATTGAAACCAAAATCTCAGATTTTTCCGGTAACGTTTGAGAAAAAAAGTCAAAAATATGGGTCAAATATTCCCCAACACTTTCTCCGAGGCTGTAGACAGAGGGGCCAAGTAAAAAGAGAAAAAAGCAGAAGTTTCTAAGGAAAACTAAATTTTTGCAAATGAATTTAAAAAGTATTTTCCAAATTAAAAAAAAAAGAAGAAATTTCAACAAACCGATTGGTAAACATACAACCAACACAAAAAGTGCGGAGGAGAGTGTTTAAGTCGTGTTTATCTTGAAAATACCCAAAATTAGGTCATTAAGACGAAAAAATAGGCCGAAATATTTTGGGCCAAGAAATTTTTTTAAGCGAAAAAAAAGAAGAAAATACAAAGTCAAGGTAAGTAGTATTAAAAATTGTATGAACAAATCAAACACTAAAAGCAACCTTAAACACAAATGCGATCAGCAAAAAAACAATTTCAAGATGCGAGAGCTAAGCCGACAACATATTAGCAGACAAGTAATCGACCGACTATTATATTTGGCACAAATTTTGCGTTTGAAAAAAAATAGGTCCGATTTGAAAAAAATTTGCGTTTAAAAAAATAAAATTCAATATAGATTGTACCCAGGTTTTTTGCCATCCCAAGCATATTTGTTACCTCCAAGCTAACTTGGCTGGAAATGCATAGAAGTTTAAATTCAATGTGAACCAAAATACAAGTGATTCAAGTGATTCTGTTAATTAAGTTGTTAACCCGAAAAAAGTATTTATTCCAGTTTGATAACGCTTGGTAATCGCAAGCATAATAAGGACGGTTTATCCGAGAGAGAAAGGACCACGTTACGGCTCTTCTTAACCGAGAACTGCTGTTCTGTCCCTGAAGCAATTTTTTAAATTTTTTTCTTTCGGAATGCTTTTCGGGTTTCTTTTTTCCAACAGATATCTGTTATCTTTCGTACGCAAATAAATCTTTCGTTTTCGGATCAAAGTAAAATCAAAGTGCTCATAAAAGGCAATTTTTGGTAAACTGTCTCAATTATTTGACTGCATTGCAGAAACTCATGGCATACGTTTTTCTTTAAGGTGTTCTAGAAGACGGAAACTATGTTTGGTCGACTTAGAAAAAATACTCGTTAAAGTTTCAATTTTCAAAATTGCGCGAACACTTTAGTTAGGCTGGTTAAAAAAAAACAAATTATCGGTAACTAGATTATAAGCCGAGTTACTTAATCAATACTAGTAGCCTATACAAAAATTCGACGAATAAATTTCTCCTGAGCCATTATACTATATTTAAACCTGTTCAGTTCATGATATTATCCCGTTTTTTTTGTGAGGAAAATCAGTTACATTACACAAATCTGATTCTTCAATTCACGTAATTATTTAATTGAATGATGCAACTTTTACGACGCGCTCTCTGTCTTTTCGGCTTGCCCGTTTTCTGTTTACTGATACGCCGTTTTACTTTTTTGTTTCAGAAAACTGTATATTAATTTTTCGCTAATTTTTTTGGTTGAAAGCTTCTGTGCTACTTGCAAAGCCTTTTTATTGTTTCAAATGTTTTTTTTTGGAAATTTTGTTAAGTGTAAAATCTGAATCATTGAGCTCCATGGTTTGAATCATGTTTTTCTTGAATATTTTATGTTTTCAATTTTTTTGCAGTTTTTGAGCAATATTTTGTTCCGACCACCTCACTAACGGATGGTAAAAAGCTATAGCGTAAAATGTTTGTTCCGACCACCTTACGAAAGGAAGGTTAAAAGTTATAGCGTAGGATGTGTGTTTTCCCGATTTTGATTTCCTCAAAAATCATAAGGGGGTAAAATAAATAGTCTTTTTAAGCCCCTTCAGCCGAGATTTAGATTTAAAAAAACATCTTGATAAAATTGTTTGAATGTCGAGAAAATTGGCTTGAATTGTCCTAATTTTGAAACCGAATTTCTTATAAAACTGTTAACACTGATAACCAAAATTGACACTGAAAACGCCCATTATGACCTAGGAAACTTAAATTTTACAAAAAAATAACATAAATTGCTATATACATAATTTTTTTATGCACATATTTACACTGTTTTTTGTTCATCAAGCGTGCCAGGTACCTAGGATGGATTTTTTTCATACAATTTTAGGTTACAGGAAAAACTTCACGCTCAAAAGCTAGTAGATTGTATCAAAAGTTGGTACCTCGTGTCAAGCAACAGTAAAATTTTTCAAAATGCTTTTTCATTGACAAATGAAAAGTGAAACTCTTTCTGCATTGGAATTAAATGTGACTTAGGTGAGGTATGGTGTAAAGGGACGAGCAAGCCAATAATTTTCATTTTTTACGGATGCCTAACAAAAATTTTGCAGTTAAAATAGAAATAAGTGGAAAAGGCTCGATATCAGTGAATGGTGGAATTCATTCGGTTTTAGATCTACATTTTTATTAGCTTTCCATTGCAAAAGATATTTACGTATTAATATCTGAGTGTCCATCTTTTTCAAAAGTAAAATTGATCAGCTATCGGTTTCCAGGAAAAACCAAAAAGGCTATTATCTAAGATGCTGGTTAATGAAGGGTATTGTCTGATACAAATAGGTTATTGATTGGTATCAGTAACCTATTAGTATCAGTAATTTTTTTGGTTGAAAGTTTCTGTGCTACTTGCAAAGCCTTTTTATTGTTTCAAACGTTTTTTTTTTGAAATCTTGTTAAGTGTAAAATCTGAATCATTGAGCTCCATGGTTTGAATTATGTTTTTCTTGAATATTTTATGTTTTCAAAGCTTACTTTTTTTCATTTTTTTTGCAGTTTTTGAGCAATATTTTGTTCCGACCACCTCACTAACGGATGGTAAAAAGGTATAGCGTAAAATGTTTGTTCCGACCACCTTACGAAAGGAAGGTTAAAAGTTATAGCGTAGGATGTGTGTTTTCCCGATTTTGATTTCCTCAAAAATCATAAGAGGGTAAAGTAAATAGTCTTTTTAAGCCCCTTCAGCCGAGATTTAGATTTAAAAAAACATCTTGATAAAATTGTTTGAATGTCGAGAAAATTGGCTTGAATTGTCCTAATTTTGAAACCGAATTTCTTATAAAACTGTTAACACTGATAACCAAAATTGACACTGAAAACGCCCATTATGACCTAGGAAACTTAAATTTTACAAAAAAAATAACATAAATTGCTATATACATAATTTTTTTATGCACATATTTACACTGTTTTTTGTTCATCAAGCGTGCCAGGTACCTAGGATGGATTTTTTTCATACAATTTTAGGTTACAGGAAAAACTTCACGCTCAAAAGCTAGTAGATTGTATCAAAAGTTGGTACCTCGTATCAAGCAACAGTAAAATGTTTCAAAATGCTTTTTCATTGACAAATGAAAAGTGAAACTCTTTCTGCATTGGAATTAAATGTGACTTAGGTGAGATATGGTGTAAAGGGACGAGCAAGCCAATAATTTTTATTTTTTACGGATGCCTAACAAAAATTTTTCAGTTAAAATAGAAATAAGTGGAAAAGGCTCGATATCAGTGAATGGTGGAATTCATTCGGTTTTAGTTCTACATTTTTATTAGCTTTCCATTGCAAAAGATATTTATATTTTAATATTTGAGTGTCCATCTTTTTTAAAAGTAAAATTGATCAGCTATCGGTTTCCAGGAAAAACCAAAAAGGCTATTATCCAAGATGCTGGTTAATGAAGGGTATTGTCTGATTCAAATAGGTTATTGATTGGTTAATACAGCTGAATAATTTGAATTGGGGTAAAACCTAAAATCACCCATAAAACAATAGAAACGAAAGTAACAAATTAAGTGCGTTCACATAATGTAGGTCGACACGATGGCTCAGTTGACGGTGTGAAATACTTCCAGTGCTTACCCAATCACGGAGTGTTTGTCAAAGCCGACAGGTTGGAACCGATCTCCCAGGATGAGATGCGCAATCATTCTCAGAAATAAGATAGAAAATGACGTCCTTTCTCAGCTCTTTTTAAACCTCATTTCTATTGAAAAGATACTGGAACTATATCGAAAAACTGGTAACTGATTGCTATTCAAAAAAGAAACATTGTGTCAAATTTGGTGGAGGTTATCTTGGTGCCTGAATTAAAATGCTGCTACTGAAAAATTAGCATTCAATTAGCTCTGCAGTAAAGTTAAATTCGTATTAAAACAAGTTTTTTTACAGAGGCGAAGTTGCACTTCGCATACACAAGCAAAAATATGACCGATACTCAGAAAAACTGATTTAACCTTTGAGTCTACATAATTTCTTAAGTGACGCACGCTAATTATGAGTCTACATAAATGCTAAGTGACGCAAGCCAATAATGACGCATTGGCAGTACCAGTAATTTTGATAGTACAAGTCATTGGCAGTACCAGTCATTTACCAACTAACATGCCTCAATTTGTAGAGCGGACGCATTTTAACCAGTATACAAAAAGTTCATTAAAAACATCGGATATTATCCGACAAGACAAGATTAATGTGCATAAGATCCGAGACAAATTATATTACAAATATCACTTTAGCTTAAAGGTATCATGGATATGTAGCGCAGAGGTAGGGAAGGAGACACGCAACAAAATAAGCGGGTTCAAAACTGGGCAGGGGCGGATGAGCTGGTCTTTGATCTTATGCATATACTGCAAAAAACATTCAAAATGAATACTAATGTTTGCGAGTTAGATTGGAAAAAAAGAGTTCATGCTATCGCATCACACAAGCTTTACTAGTGTAAAAATTGAGATCTAGCTTCCTCATTCCAAAAGTTTATCAAAACGATTTTTTTTTGTAAACAGTTATGTAATTTTTTCAATCTCAACAAGATTTAGCTCGTAGGGTTGTTTTTTTTTTGCATAGTTTTTGAAGTTGAAGCATTTAGCGCTAAGTGCACAGCCACCTCCAGTTTTATTCCAACGCTTAATTTTTCGAGTTTAAATGGGTGAAATCCGGGCAGAAAACTGCTAAATCATGAGATTTATTTTACTCATTGACGGAACTGATTTCTTTATCCCACACTTTTGGTATAGAAAAAACCGCATATTCAGTTCTTGCTGGTACAGTCAAGACAGTCATGGGCGTTTTGATGCTTTTTCATTTGACTTGAGCTATGGTCTTAACTACATTGCAAAGTTTTAACTACAAAAAATAGCATGCAATTAACAAAAATAAAAAAAAAGTTTTTTTTTTAATTTTTTTTTTGGCTCTGCTCCATTTCCCCTACTTTTTAAATCAAAAGTTTTTATGACTTTTTTGTGTAAATGGGCATTGTTACGAGCAGTGTTGTCTGAAAATGAAGAACGAATCTGTTCACAGTTGTCAGTTTGTTCACCAAGCATTATTTCGTTGCATTATTAGATTCTTAAATAAGCGTATCAAAATGAAATTGGACGGGGGTGGGGAAATAAAAGAGCCATTAATGTTTTAGTGGAACTACAACCTCGCTAAAAATACTGAGATTATTAAATTGAGATTTTATACTGAGTTTTTAAAAATACCCGTTTTTATAACAAATTGAGTTTTTGCAGCCTAGCAATTTATGAATCACAGTTTGGGTCCCAATTTCGCAAAGTTATGTAGTTTGGCTCAAGCAATTCTTGAGCTCGCCATTTTTTTGTTAAAAACTCACCAAAAATGGAACCAAAATAGGAAAATTGAATTATTTTTTTTTGTGATAGGATCATTCAATTTTCCTATTTCTGTTCGTTCCGTCCGGATAATAAGAAATCAGCACCGCCTAAGCAACTTTTTTAACCATCTTTTTTGTCTGACGTCAACCCAATTTGAGAAAAATGAGTTTATGGTTACCAATTTTGTCGGTTTTAACATTATTACTTCTCCATCTATTAATATCAACAGGTCTATTTTAAAAGGCTAATTGAACCAGTGAGCTTTTTGCAAATGGAATTGACATTCATAATCATAAAAATGTTAGGCTCAAAACACTTTAACTTAACAAAACATTTTCACAATTAATGAAAATTTTCAACCAGTTTTTTTTTCTACAAATTGTTCTATACCGTAAGACATCGTGCCGAGTGAGATAAAACGAAATTGCTCCAAATTTTTTAAAAAAATTTGTGGCAGAAGTGAATTTTTCAATATTGGTCTCAAAAAAATAAAACTGCATTCGAGAGATATTTAAGAGCTTTCATAAGCATTTCAAAAAAAAACTGAAACATTTTTCAAATGATTGACAATAATTTCTAAAATGAAAACCAAAATAATTGGAGCAAATTGTATTCAAATTTTTTTTTGCAAATATTAATTCAAAAAAGTTTTCTTTATTTTAAAAAAATTTTTAGCTTTGTTTCATTGCACTTTTCTGTCAATTTAATTCACCAAAAAGGTACTTTTGGAAAAATAACATACATTTTAATCTTAACGTTTGCAATGTAGATTTACCAATCCAAGTTTTTGTTCATGATTGTTCTGTCTGCTTTTTAGCTTTTCCTACAAGAGTGTTCGCTTTAGAAAAAAAATAACAAACAAACGCTTATGTAAAATACAAAGTGATACGCTTCACTCATAGCAAAAAAAGTAAGTATAATTCTCCGTGTACACGGTAATAGCGCGGCTTTTTCCACTTACGCTTTGTTAGCGCGAAACATGTCGCGCGTGAATTGTTGCAAATTAGCGGTATTGGCAAAATTTATCTCCTTGTGATTCTATGGAAAATGATGAGCAGAGATGGAATATCTTCATAAATTAGAGCTCAATACAACATTAAAAAGTAGAAATTCGTCAGGAGAAAAGGCACGAGCACAATTTTTGTCACTTTCTTTGAAAACCGGAAAAATAAGCCCCTTGCTATGCTACCAGTGCAATTCTTTAACGAGTTTTCTTTCGCTTTTTAAAGGGCCATCAGATTTAAAACGTACCAATTAATTAAGTATTCAGCAAACTTGAAAAACAGAGATACTGAAAGAGATTGAAAAAATTCAACACGAAAATGTTCTACTTGGTTTTGAAATTATTTCCGTAAAACCATCCAAAGCACTCGTAGATGGAGTCTTATAATTTAACGTATTTTATTAGAATGCACGTTTCAATGCCCAGTTTTTTCACTCCAGGACAAATTAAATTCTAAGAAATAAATGAAAAAATAAAATTAAATAAAAAACTGTTCTTATAATTTTTTTAGCGTTCAAGTTTTTTACACAAAAACGAAGCAGAAATACGCAACAGTAACGCTACAATTAAAACTTTGTATGATAAAAAATTGAAAAAAAAAAGATTTTTTTTGAAAACTTCATGCTGAAAAAATAGTTTCTAAATTCTACAGATTTTTTATACAATTGCCTGGCACGATATTCCTAAACAGCCTTAACATTCATTTAGAATCAATGACCGAGCGGCTACTAAAGCAAAAATTTAAGTCGACCATCGTTAAGCCGAAAACCAAAGTATAGACATCAAATAGAAGCAAGCTATATATTTTTTTAAAATTATAATTTCTACGACCCATCTCTCCTGAAACAAGCAAAAACTTTTTAAAAAATTTGCGATTGAACTTGCGCAATAAAAGTTGACTAGCAATACAATTGAGACTTTGCCATACAAAATATTGAAAAGAAAAAAATTAGGAAGTTTTTTTTATAAGTAAAGCTGAAAAACTAAAATGAAACAATTACAAAAAACTATCTATGAAATTTCCATAATTCAATTTCGAAAGAAACTCATTATTTTCACACAAAATCTTAATTATTGTTGAGAGAAAATGACGGAGCAGCAAACAATTCGGGTACACCTTCGTTAAAATGGACATAACAAAAACTGTAGCTTTGACTAGGAATACACTTAAAACCTTGAAGTACAAGTTATTGTATAGAAAAAAAATAATGAAGTCCTTTCTTTATAGGTAGAGCTGAGAAACTAAAAAAGTCCAAAACAATCTATCCATAAAAATTTTATAACACTGTCTCGGACGATTTCAAATTTTCATAAACAGCCCTAATTATTGTTAAGAACTAATGACCGGGCAGCAGCTAAGGCAAAAAACTTGGATCGAACATCATTACGCCGAATCATTACTTGGATCGAACATCATCATTCGGTGATCATCAATTATACTCAGAGTTGCTCGAATTAGAAAAATTACCCCAGCTGAATTGAAGAACAAACGAAATAACGCAACTACATTTTTCCGGAGTAGTACAATCGACCTGAAGTATTCAAAACAACACGAAGCAATTTTTGTCCTTCTAGGCAGAAAAAGAGAAATGACTAGGCAGAAAAAATATTATCCGAAATTGTTCCGGCCGAATAAAATGTATTATTCACAATTTATATAAGTTAGGGTTAGTAAACCTACAATACAGGAGTTATTCAACATTACTTGCAACTACAATGAAAATTGCTTATAACTATAACACAAATTAATTTGGAATGTCGCAACTGAGCCAAAAAAAAACAAGCAGACAAGCAATAAGACAAGCGATAGTCTGAATACTCAGTATATATTCACCAAAAAAAACTTCAATTATATGCTAAAAACATGCTGAATAAAACAGCGTCCGGCTCTGACTCGTTTTTGAACTCTCATTGTTTCAAAAGCAACAGCGTAAATTCTGGAGTAAGCAGCAAGGAGCCTGGAAAGTGTAATTGATCAATAAAGGAACAAATTCGACTTTCGATACTAGACAAACCTTGCCTTGTACGATAAAAGGAATTATCGAAAGTTTTTTTTAGTTTTTCTCGAGTCGTATAAGCAAACAGCCTCAAAAAAACTCTGGGAGTCATTAACCGAGCGGCAATTAGGTCAGCAAAACTGTTTTCATAAAAAAAAACAAGCTATAAAAGTTTGAAGGCGATTTTTTTAAAACCCCGTGACTATTAAATCACACAAATGCGTAGAAATTACTTTCACTCAAAAACTATGCCTTATGAGGAGGTGACTTAAGCAAAAAAACATAAGCCGAAACCACTCAATAAAGTACTAAGACAACAAATGATCATTAATCAGAAAAATTACGAACTAAATGGTTAATTATCAGAACAATTACGAAACCCAGAAAAACTTTTAGTTCTAGTACAATGTATTTTTTGTCTGACGTCAACACAATTTGAGAAAAATTAGTTTAGGATTGCCAATTTTGTCGGTTTTAACCGGATTATTTCTCCATCTAATAATATAAA